AGGGATGTGGAATTCTTTGAAGATAGATTTTCAAAAGATATTGAAAGATCAGAACCAACATTGGCCTCTAATCTCTTTTGTTTATCTCGCGATAGTTCCAAAACCTCAAATGAGGCTGACGAACCACAAAGAAGCACAAGAGTGAGAAAAGTAAAAAATCTGGGAAATGATTTCTTCTCGTACTTGGTAGAAGGGACACAAAAGAAAGTGACAAGAGAGGTCATTTTCTCTATCAGTACTGAAGAGGATCTCAAGACATATAAAGAGGCCATGACTTCAAGGGATGCTTCACTATGGAATGAAGCAATAAATGATGAGATAGACTCCATCTTGGGGAACGGAACTTGGGTGCTAGCATATTTGCCCACAGGGGTGAAACCCATCGGTTCCAAGTGGATTTTTGAAAGAAAGATGTACCCTGATGGTTTAATATCATCCTTCAAGGCTAGATTGGTGGCAAAAGGGTATACACAGAAAAAGAGAGTCGATTATTTCAACACCTATGCTCCAGTTGCTAGAATTAGTTCTATTCGAACTCTTATAGCAATTTCTGCCATAAAAGGACTATATATTCATCAAATGGATGTGAAAACAACTTTCTTGAATGACTATTTAAACGAGGTTTACATGGAGCAACTTGAAGGGTTTGTAGTACCTGGACAAGAGAATAAAATGTGTAAACTTATTAAATCTCTATACGGGTTAAAAACAAGCTCCTAAATAGTGGCACAAAAGATTTGATACAACTACCACATCTTTCGGGTTCCGACATAATGGGGCCGACCAATGCATTTACTCTAAATGCATGAGAGTACACTGTGGTAATCTGTCTTTATGTTGATGATATGTTGATCATCAGAACCAATCTAGAAGGTATTCTTGAGACAAAATGGTACTTATCCTCGAACTTTAAGATGAAAGATCTTGGAGAAGTATATACCATCCTTGGGATAAAGATCAAAAGGTCAGTATCACAAATCTCTCTAAGTCAATCTCGCTACCTAGAGAATATACTGACCAAGTTTCAACATCTGAATATAAAGGAGTTTAACACTATATTTGATTCAAGTTTGAAACTCGATAAAATACTGGTAGAGAAGTGGCCCAACTAGAATATGCTAGTGCAATAGGGTGCATGATGTAAGTAATGCATTGAACTAGACCGGACATTGTTTTTGCTGTGAGTAGACTGAGTCAATATACCAGCAATCCGGGTTTAGATTACTGGAAAACAATTGATAGAGTATCGGGATACTTAAAAAGAACCCAGGATCTAGAGTTGACATACTCTACACATCCAGAAACCTTGGAGGGATATTTAGATGCCAGTTGGATAGATCACTCATGTGATTCTAAATCCACAAGTGGGTGGATTTATACTCTTGCTGGAGGGGTGATTTCTTGGTCGAGCAAGAAACAAACATGTATCGCCCATTCAACTATGGAAGCCGAATTCATTACCCTAGCGGCAACAGGAAAAGAGGCCGAATGGATTAGAGGTTTGTTGATTGCTATCCATTTATGGCCTCGACCGAATCCTTCGATTCCCATGTATTGTGACATTGAGACCACACTGTCAAAAGTATATAATGCCATATATAATGGGAAGTCGCGACACATAGGTCTCTGACACAACTACATGAGACAACTAATTGATGATGGTACCATAAGTATTGTGTTTGTCAAGTCTTGTGGGAACTTGGCAGATCCACTGACCAAGCTTCTGATGACAGACTTGGTGGGGTCAACTACCAGAGACATGGGTCTGAAACCACGTAGAAATGTAGAATCAGTTAGTGATGGAAATCCAACTTGGATATAGTGCTCCTATCTACCAAGTTTAAAGGGTAACAACAAGTCACTTAACTGATAGAAGCTACTATCAAATAATAGATCCATATAAGGTGAAAGATAGTACGATGTTGTCGAGAACAAGGATGAGTCAATCTCGTAACAAAGTTTAGAGGCATCTTAACAACGAAGATGTTATAGAACTTTGCCTATATGACTTAGAGGTGGTGCCGCCTCAAACGAAGAGTAGTGGTTCTTCTTCTAGTAAATCATGAAACAAGGTTTAGCGCATGGCCATATCCGCGCTCAGTGAGAAAGTAAGGTTGATAGATGATGTGTGTAAGTAAGCCAGAGTAGTCACAAGATTCAAGGTTTAAATCTTAAGAATACCATTGCATTGACCCCTTCTTGCTTATTTACATTAAACAAGGTTTAATATTAGTGACACCACTGTAAGATATCTACTATGAATGTCAAAAAACTTTCCAACCTAGTGGGAGATTGTTGGAAATTTTAGTACTTTCATCCCAAATTGGTAGATAAAGGAAGTTTAGAGAAACTTATAAGGCTTCCTCTACAATTGGGCTTTGAACAAATGGGTAGACTCATGGTGGGGGTCTTGAGTGAAAGGCCCAACGTACACGTCCGCGCGCGGCCGTGGCCGAGGGCGCTAGCGCGGGATTTACGAAAGTGGCGTGAAGAGGCGCACTTTGCACCTCGTATATTTTTGGTACAAAGTCGAGAGAGATGAAAAAACTGATTTTAAAATCGGTTTTAAATCTTTTCAGCCACGTTTTTCCTAGAGATAAAAATTGTTGGAGGATAATCCTCCAACTACCCATGATGATCTGAAAATTGGGGATGAGATTGTGGGGGGTTTTTTAGGGTTTCACCAGTATAAATATTGGGTACAAGCCAACCTTAAAAACCATCTGAAAACTACTGTTTCCTCTCTGCGATTTCTGCTCCTGCCCGTTCTTCCTCTCTACCGTTTCTGCATCTATATTGCTTTAATTTTTCGTTTTTCATCGTTGTTGATAAATGAAAACGTGTGCTGTCAAATCCTGGGGCTTTGCGACTAGCAGACTCACCAGCGAACAAAGAGTAGTTATATAAAACCTCTAAGAACAGGTTTTACCGTGCAGATTACGATTCAACGTCAGATAAATCAGGTTGGTTTTAAATTTTCGTGCATTGTATTTAATTTATGTTCACTAAGGTAGTGTTTGGTACACAGACATAATTGGACAAGACTGAACAAGACAGGACAGGATAGGACAGAACAAGAGGGTATGACTGGACAGGACGAGACATGACTGAACATAACAGGAGTATGTCTGGTGTTTGGTACGACTAGGATTGGACGGGACAGAACTAGACAAGCTACCTCCAAAAGTTATTTGATGATTATAAATACTATTAATAGTTATAATTAACACAAATAAAGTAAATAATTAAAGAATAAATATTTGTACATAATTTTCATATTTGTACCAAATTTGAATAATTTTTTTGATATAATTGATGGTAATAGTGGTGGTGGTGGAGGTGGTTTTGGTTATGGTGGAGGTGGTGGTGGCCGACGATAGTAGTGGCAACGGGCGGCGGTGGTCGGTGGCCGACAATGGTTATGGAGGTAAAGGCAGTAGTGCTTGGTGGACGACGGTGATTATAGAAGACATGAAGATGGTAGATTGTGGTGGTGGTGGCGGTTGACATTGTGGAGGAGGTAATTGTGGTTGATGTAGTGAAGATGGTGGTGGTGGTGGTTATGGTAGAGGTGAGGTGGCAATGAATGGTGGTGGCTGATGGTGGTCGTAGAGGAGGTTGTTGCAGTAGAGGAGGAGTTGAAGGTGGCGAACGGTGGTAGTGGTGGTGGCAATGAATGGTGGTGGTCGGTGGTCGACTATGGTAAAGGTAGCAATAGACTTGGTGGACAATGGTTGTGGAGGATGTTGTTGTAGTGGAAGAGGAGGTGGCCGTCGGTGACCGTCGGTAGTGGTGGCAGCGGCCGAAACTAGTGATGATGACCATTAAAACAAATATCATATTAAGGTTATATATCAAACTAGGGTAGATTAATAATATTTTAATTTCTGTCACATTTTTGTCCCATCTTGTTTCACATATTTTGGTGGAACAAGAAAAAACCTCTTTTGTCCAATGTTGTCCCACCTTGTCTCAGTTCTTGTCCCTGTCCTATGTTGCGCCAAACATGGGACAATGAGTTATTGTTCTGTCACATGATGCGCCAAACATGGGACAGTGGGTTTTGTCCCGTCCTATATGCCAAATGCAGCCTAAGTGAACAACTATGCTTCTACTTCTTTCTTTTATTGAATCTATCGCAAAAAATAGATTTAATCTGTGTGAATTTACACGTTTTGAGGTGTTGTGGATTACAGACTCAAAAGGTTAAATATTTTGATCTTAAAATTTTCAACTTTTTCGGTTAAATATTTTAAAGTTTTTTTTTATAAAGGTTAAAACTTTGTTAACTCAATTTATCTTTTCAACACGATCAAGATTTAATAGTGAATAACAAATGCAGGGACGAAAAGTGTAATTTACTCTAAAAGTTAAAAAAATGTATAAGTTGTCTAGTAGATAATGGATGGATCCAACTCACGCATTAAATTGTATGCAAAAGATCTCATTCAAATCAATGTACACTGTTTTAATGTGCTTATCGACTTGTACCTTTCTCCCCCCAACAAACCCAGAAATGTACAACTCCATATGCATTGCTGGCTTGTACGATATAACCGCAGCGATTCTATAATATCCTTATATTGATTTTCAATTATTATGATTTTACTGAATTATATATCAAATTAAAAATTGTATTATATGTTCTCAAAAAGAAATAATGGGTTGTGTATGTGTGTTGTCAAGTGTATATTACTCAAGTTTTTCAGTAATCCGTCAGACAAAGTGGTCCTAAGGAGACTCGAACTGCTAGGGTTGAATCTGATCACTTGGTTGAGCTTCGAGAAGTAGAATTGGTCATCGATTTTAAGCGGGTTTTCCGGACCGTGAATTTGGCATCAATCTGACTTGGTTTTTGTTACTGAACGAAAATTCAACCTTTCTGTCGGGCTTTTAGAGGGTTCATTCGAGGCCTGTTCAATTTGGAATAACGGAAAAGAAACGAAAGATAACGACTTGCAAGCAGAGGTCGAACGAATGTACATACGCATGCAAGATACAGCTTATAATTGCACCGAATTTCACTGGTCCCGAGCTTAAAAAAAGATTTGCACTACCAATAGTAGTCACTGTGCAGCTAATTCAATACAAAACCGGTAACATGGTCAATTTTTGTTTTCTTCAAAAACTCGATACGGATCAAACCAAACCCGAAAACCACAAGCAAACAGGTGTTACGAATGGGGTGAAACGGGAAAAACTTACATGAATGGTGTCGATGAACAACTATATCTACAGATGTGAGCTATGAATCACAGGATTGTTGTAGGTACTAATTGGACATCCCGTGGGCCCTACTGCTCTCGCAACCGCTACTATCACCGGATTCAAAGTATCTCTTCTCCATCAACCGCTCCCTTCCGATTTCCCTATTCCCTCTGTGTTCCTGTAAGAGATACGATTGAGAGATGCATTCAAATACGAAAGTCGACATAAACTGATAATAAGATGCTCCATCCGTCCCAAAATAAATGTCCAATATGGAAAAGGTACACAGGTTTTAGAAATGTGTGACTACATGACCATTTTTATCATTAACGATATGGGTACGGAACTTCTCCATCTTATGATTAAGGGTAGAATTGGAAAAGTAAACACTTACCTTTAAAGTTGGACACTTATTTTTGGAGAAACTAAAATAGAATTATGGACACCTACTTTTAAGACGGAGAGAGTAGATAACACATTAACTTACATCTCTAAACGGAAAGTCATCAGCCTCGAGCATATGAATCACGTGACCCATTTTCGGCCTCTTTTGAGCACTAGGATCTACGCAGCGTAATGCTACTAATAGGGCCCGTTTTAAAGCTCTTGAAGACGGTCTCTCGGGTAATTTAGGATCCAAAACCCCCTCTGCATTCCTATTTGTTACCATCGTTTTAAGCCAATCGACAAGATTCACCTACAAAGAGTTTAGCCTTTTGTTTTTAGATAACAAATGCTACAAAAAACTACCAGAAAAGGTTGTATTAACAAACCGAAACATAAGCAGCGACCGCTGATAGTTTGTGGACTAACCTCCTCCGCAGGCCGGCTATAATCTACAGGATTTCTGCCGCTAATAATCTCCATAATAAGAATCCCGAAGCTGTAAACATCACTTCTCTCATTCAACATGCCCGTACTAGCATATTCAGGAGCAACGTATCTACAGGGTGAAATCAAGAATGTCATCAACTCGTATATGTTACTTAGATACGACCAACAATATAAGGGTAAATAGGCGAAGGATAGTGTGAGAAGGAGAGTCAAAGGTGAGAAGCATAAGAAGGGATTTGGACCCTTGATCACCTTTAATCTCAACCCCACCCATGAATCGCTGCTTGATATAAAGGTATGGATGATCTCTGAGACAGGTAACTTGTTGGATACCTGCTAAAGAGGTCATTCATCCCTTTCATTATCTGTAAAGTTCCGCTCTAGGACCCAAAATTGAGGTTTTGAAAATTGATTCCCTAAAATAGAAATAAATTTTAAAGTTGGTTCCATTTTGGTGCAATTTCTCCACGATATAAACCATATCTAATGAAGTAAAGAATGGACTTACCCAAATGTTCCCATAACTCGAGTAGTGACATAGCTCTTCTCTGAGCCCAAAAGTTTGGCCAAGCCGAAATCCGAAACTTTGGGCAGCCATTGTCTATCAAGTAAAATATTGCTCGACTTAATATCACGGTGAACCACTTTGGGTTCAAGTCCTTCGTGCAAATAAGTCAACCTGTAAGTTCCCATGAAGGTTTTGAATCATTCAGGCAACAACAAAGATTCGTAAAAGAGTTCAAATTTGGGATTCAAAGAGTACCCTTTAGCCGTTCCAAGTACAATGTTCATACGGATCTCCCACGTAAGAGGACTAATGGGTCCTACGTCTCCATGAAGCCATTGCTCTAAGTTCCCATTGTTTACGTACTCATAAACAAGGATCCTAAACACAATAACCAACTTATATTAATGCAATTCAAAGTCAAGTAGTGTGCAATTGGTGTTCAAAGTTTTCGGTAGCCGAATGATAGCGAGAACTCAAATGAAAGTAACCATATGTGTGTAAATGAGCCCTTGTTGAGATGGGAGATCACCTAGGATATATATATAGCCCCCAAAATGAGCCCTCTTCTCTTCGATTTTGGGGGCACCATCTAGCATCCGTTTGAGGGGGGCGGTGTTCTGAGTCTCACATCAAACCTCTCTCTCTCTCTCTCTCTCTCTCTCTCTCTATATATATATATATATATATATATCTGTTAAGGATCTTGAAAAGAAATTCAAAGGGTTTCAAATGAAAGGTAATACCTTTGAGCTCCTTCAGCACAATACCCAAGCAGTCTGACTAAATTCTTGTGACGAACTCGACCAATGGCTTCGACTTCAACCTTAAACTCCTTTTCAGCTTGTCCTCTGTCAAAGTCATTACAACCTTAACTTCAATCAAAACAGCATCTCTTAAAGAAAGCATAAAACCAATTAACTGGCAAAAGATGTTAACCTGTTATTCAGCAAATTCTTGACAGCAACCATCGTATTATCCATCAAAACCCCAGAATACACAATCCCATATCCACCTTCACCAATCACATTTTCATCTGCAAATCCATTTGTTGCAATTTCAAGCTCTCTTAAAGTGTACCAATGGCCCCAACCCAAATGCGAAACCTCGGGTTGAACCGATATAATAGACAGCTGATCACCCGACCCGCCACCAGCCTTCCCAATCTCTATCTGGATCTTCTTGTACCCATTTAGATTACCATCGTTCACAGCTGCATGGCTTCTAACTATAGCTAAAGAACCCGACTCGATTGACGGGTTTTCACCCTCTTCCTCCTCCACCTGCGGCTGCTGATGCTTCTGGTTGTCGTGAGTTTCTATGTCGTGAGTTCGGGTCGGGTCGACCCGGGGTTCTTGAATATCGTCGGAGATGGTTGGGATTGTAGGTTTGTGACATATTGTTTTGGTTTTCTTGAAGGAATGTTTTCGTTTGGAGGTGAAATAGAGTGAAATAAAGAACATGGCGATAACAATGGCGGCACCAAAGCAAATTCCAAGAACAACCCAAAACCTTAAACCGAAAATTGAGGTCTTCCGTGAGAGCTCATCCTTAAAAGAGTCGGACATTTTGGTTGTTGTCGGTGTCTAATTTGTGCTAAGAATCCATGGGCGTTGGAGAAGTGAAGAAGAGAGACAGAATTATGAGGGATGTTGTAGAAGAAGGATAAAACGACAAAATTGGGTGGGGACTGTAGGAGAGAGAGAACCCTGCAATGATAATAGAAAAATCTACTGTACTGCGACCATTATAATAGTTGTATTCATAAATTCGAATTTATTTGATGTCTTTTTTAATATTCATTTAAATATTGTTTTATAGAAACATTGGATCAAAACACGATTATTTAAGTAAACATAAACTTATATTATAACATATTGAGTAAACACAAAGAGAGCCCATTAACTTTTTTTGGATTTTGAAGATGAGTAATTATTCTTTTGAGGAGCCGTATGAGATGAAAATCTTGTGTACGTTTTTGTAGAGTGGTAATAAGAGTGATTTATTCATCAACTTTTCTATTATCATTTCAAAAAAATCAAACTCTGGTAAGTGGGATTTTGTTATAATAGCCTTATTAATCACAATACAGATAATTAATTTTGATGTTTAGTCTGATTTATGAATAGTTTGTTTGGTGGGTTTTTCATTAGTTTGTTAGGGGTGTTTAGTTGGTTTTGCATTAGAGTCGGTTTGTCAGCGGCTTAATAAAATTGGGTCTTATAGTTTATTCGGTCACATGACTATTTGGAAGTGGTTTTAATGATGTAGAAAGTGATTTATTTACTAAGCTTTTAGGGGGGGAGCTTTATACAGGAAGATAAGTTTTTTCCAAACATGTTCATTCCAATTAGAAAACAGACTCTTTTCATGTAAGAAAAAACTTTCTCAAACAAAAACCTTCTGATCTATACAAAAGGGATTAATCCACACATACCGCTTTATTCATACAAGACTTTATGGAAAACCAACAAAGCAACCCATAAGTCCTGTATGGATAAAGCTGTTTGTGTAGATTAATTTGTCTGTATAAATTGAGAATGTTATTGTTTGAGAGAGTTTTATTGATGGAAGTAGTATGTTTTTGTCCGAGAGGGATATGTTTGAAAAAAGTTGACTTTCTATTTAAAGCTCTTTTAGAAGCTTACTAAATAAGTCATGTTGACCAAATAATCTATAAGTTCTATTAAACTCATTAAACTGCTAGAAAACAAGTCGTAGGAAAAGATGTCCGTATGGATTAAGTCCTCTGTATAAATTGAAAAAAAATTTGTTTCGAAGTTTTCTCATAGATAGAAGAAATATCTTTTCAATTCGTGAGGGGCATGCTTAGAAAAAAAAAATTGATTTCTGGCTTTCTGTATAAAGTTCCCTCTTTGAAACTTATTGAATAAGTCATTTTCTATATCATTACGTCACTAACAAACAATCATACATAACCAGCTTAAATAAATTATAGATCTCATTAAACTATTAACAAACCGTTCTTTTTTATGTGATGCAACTTTTGATTGTCCATTCTTCACCAAATGTTTATGATATTGGATTTGGAAAAAGAATATATCTAATGAAACGAGGGACGAAGAGCAAGAAAATTTGGTGATAGATATAGATATAATAATAGATATATAGATTTGTTGATATCACCTTTCTTGGACTAACTTTTCAATCATTCATGGCGACAAGTCAAGAAAGCAAACACACATTATTTGGGACCCGTGAACATGTGTTTCTAGGCATTATTTTATTTGGTTTATAAGCTCTTTATCGTTTTTTAGATGGAATATGTGTTTTCATATTTTTGGGTCAACAATGGAGTTAGAAGCCAGTGTTATCGTTTGGGAGAATAGTTGGATAGATAAGTGATCGAGCGACTAAGGAACATATCATATTCAGTTGGTTTATACTTCCAAAAGTAATATTCAAGAATTTTTAGTGCAAGTTTGTAAGTGTTCACGAGTCAGACATGTAAGTCGAACACAAGTGTAAGAAAGATTACATGTTTTTCACTGTCGTCTCAAAACAAATAATAAAGTGATACAAACATCGAACATCATCCTCAGAGAGAGTGTTGTATCTTATACATATCAATGTCAAACTATCTGATGTCAGTATTTTTCTGAAAATGATATAAAGAATACTCAATAAAAGTCAAAACTCAAATAAACATAATGTTCTTTCAAATTTTCCCATATTTTTCTTACCAACGTTGTGTCAATCCATTCTTAAAGTTGACTTGGTAGGTTGAATTACATTAGCGGAAATGAATAAGAGGTTTTGAATGCATGCAAATAAACAAAAGCAATAGAATCTTTAGTATCAAATGTTCACACAAACATGTTAGAGCCATAACAATATTCATAATCGCAACACTTAAATTAAAGCACAATGTAAATAAAAAACAATCAACAAGATGAAAATAACCATATTTCAATTGTAAGAATAATGTTTTAAGTGAAGATAATAACAAAAAGACACTCTCGCTTACCACTTCCATTCCATCAATCCACCTCCTTACATCAATAGTTATTTACATTGTTTTTGACAGACTTGGAGTTTCTAATATTACCGTGTCTGTTTACTCACATGATGACCCAAAGTTTAGCTACCCAGAAGCTCACGAAAAGCTTTCCAAAAACATGCTTTCATAGCCGACATCATGTTACTCATGTGACATGGTTCAAATGTCCTCCACTTACGTCCTTCAATTTTTCTTCAACAACGTCCATTTGATCCGACGATCTTTCAATATAACCATGATTTTTCTTTCACCAACGGTTCTTCAAAACTCCAGCTTGTCACAGCTCAAGTACATAACGTTAAACCTTTTCACACTTCCCCAAACAAACACACAGTAACAACTGCCAAAACATTAATCACAACCTAAACTACAAACAATTGCAACATTACCCATTTTTACCTTAGATCAAAAAAGAATCAAGTGGAAAAGAGTCAATAAAGAGACAAAACATAGTAGAATAGAGTCCCATGATGTGGATTTTTTTTCATAAATAATAATAATTTTTTTAGTTCTATCTGGAAGCAAAAAAAGGAATTAGGTGCCGAGTTTGACCAACTACTAGTAACCGAGTATTAAAATTGTGTTTAAAAAAAAAATAGAGACTCCAAACTATGAAATGTGATTTTGAAAGCATAATAAAGATAATTATCTTTTGTAAATAGTTATTATTGTTATTATAAAACATAATAATTTTTGTTGACAACTAACTTCTTATAAAACGACAAGTATTTTCAAAACTTGAATGATTGATTAGATACTTTAACAACAACTCATTATCAAACACATTTGAATTTAAGGTATGATAGGGAGTTGCAACTTGCAATGTTGAGGGTGACAATGGTTGTGAAGCTCTAGTATAGTAGTATGCTATGCTGTTATATCGGTCAGAATACGAAATATCGGTCAGGACCGATATTCGATATATCGGTGATATATCGGAAATAGCGGTTAACATAATATTTCTTAGAATTATATATATAATATGCATTAATTAGAGTTTAGAAGTCTGAAGACTGAAGTTGAAGTCGAAGTGTGAAGAAAAGTCGAGACTGAAGATTGAAGAAGTCGAGACTGAAGTGTGAAGAAGAAGTCGAGACTTGAAGTCGAAGTCGAAGTCGAAGTCTGAAGACTGAAGTTGAAGTCGAAGTGTGATTTGTGGAGAAAAAGTCGAGACTGAAGTTGAACATGAAGAAGTCGAGACTGAAGTTGAACGTTAAGAAGAAGAAGACGTTGTGGAATACCTAATTTAAGTTATCAGCCCAAAAAATCGCTAAATATCGCTAAATATCGCTAAAAATCGCTAAATATCGGAAAATATCGCTAAAAATCGCTAAATATCGGAAAATATCGCCGATAATATCGTTCCCGATATTTTGACCGATATTTGAGTTCCGATTTTTTTTTTGGAGCGATATCCGATATATCGCCGATATATCGACGATATATCGCGATTTTAACAGCATAGGTAGTATGTGATTGATTGACACTCAAATGGAAAGGATGAGCATTTCATTTGCCCTCCCTCCTATCTTTTCTAAGAAAACTCGAGGAAAATCTCAAAGAGAAAAGGAAAATACGTTATGAAGGTCAGCAAGAATTGTTTGGAAAATTGAGGGTAATTCATAAGCCAAAAGTATATTATATCCCATATTATGTAGTACTTTATGTTGTGGAAGTGTTTGGCATGAGAATAAAATAAACAATGGGGCGAAAAGATGATCTTAGTGAACGAAAGAAAATAAATCTCAAATTAGAGCATGTTACTATGATTTATTCGTTGTTTATAATGTTGAACGATAGATAAAAACATGTTACAAGTGTTGTATATAGAAACATAGAGAAATGGTGTATTGTTGTGCCTTACGGCTTGCTAAAAACGTTGTTTCCATTTGAAAAAGTGTATATATATTTTGTTTTGTCAAAATCCACGTTGTTGATCTTCAGGTGTCCCAAACAGGTCACAAACTCGCATTTGTTGGGCGACAGTCACTTATCTTTAACAAATCACTAAGGTTTCAAAACAATAATTAGTGCATAAACCAATAATAATGCGAAAGCAAATAGACCTCAAGCTTGTATTTAACAAAATACAATCAATGAGACAATAACAACCTACAACAATGATGCTACAACGATCTATGAAAGATAATACTAAGGACACGAAGATTTAATGTGGTTCCACTATTGTGAGATAATGTACATCCATTGGGGAGATGGTGGTTCATATATTCAATGTCGAAAGAGAATACAAGGAGTTCTTACCAACTACAAGCTTCAAATCGTAGCACTTGACAAAATGTTACCCTAAGAACTCACTATCTCAAGTTTTCTCTCTTATTTATCGATGAGGAGTAAGAACACACTAAAATATTACACTTTACAAAAGAAAAAAAAACATAAAACTTAAGTTTTAACCTGGGGGCACTATGCACGATCCAGCCCCGCGATTGTGCCATGGGCACTATAGCATGGCACAATCGCACCAACTATACCGACACTATCCCTATTGGCGCGATCCTGCCTCGCTATTCTGCCATCTGTCACCATAGCAGCTCACCTTTAGCATAAAAACACCTTCTTGAGCTAAGCATCGATA